CCTCAAAAATATGTAGTTGCGCCCCTGACCCCTTGAGAACCCTATAGTGAGGGTAAAGAGCTGGTCCAGTGTTCCACAGCTTTGTTGCTCCTGGATCCAAGGTTGGACCAACTATCGGAGGCACTTCTCCAGTACCCCTGAATAGACCTTAACAAGGAGGCGAAGAGTTATGCCTCTATAATTGGAGCACAACCTCCGGTCCGCCTTTTTGAAAAGGGGAACCATCACCCCAGTCTGTTAATCCAGTGATACTGGCCCCGATGTCCATGCAACACTGCAAAGGTGTGTCAACCAAGACAGCCCCACAACATCCAGAGCCTTAAGGAACTCAGGGTGAATCTCATCCACCCCCCAGAGCCCTGCCGCCATGGAGCTTTTTAACTACCTCGACGACCTCGACCATGGTCATGGACAGACCACCCGATGTCTCCCGACCCAGCTTCCTCCATGGAAGACGTGCCAGTGGAATTGAGAAGATCCGAGAAGTATTCCTTCCAACTCCCTAAGACATCAGTGGTTGTGTGTGTGTGTTGGGCGGTGGGTGGTGGGGTGGGGTGGTGGTGTAAGCTCATTTTGGGTTTTTGTGACCTTTCCTGCCCATTTTGTTTTTATCTTTTCCTTTATGTTGTTTCTTTTTTGTGCAAACAATAAAAAAAAGAAACAGTATTTGTGACAATACTTTTTGTAGAAGTATTAATTTTCATTTACCGGTACAGTACATCCTCATATACGGGTAAATGCATTGAGATCTCTTCAAATCTTAAGAAACGCTGTGCTCTTTGAAATCTTTTTTGGCATACATTAAGCTTGTAGCTACTTTTAGCTACTTTTTGCTAGTTTTATCTTTTTACGCCTGTTCTGCTCTTTTAAGCTTTTAGCTCTTACGCAAATTATGTTAGCTTTCACCTACTGTTGTGCTGTTTTAGTTTTTAGCCCCAGTTTTGCTAGTTATGGCTTTTTGTTACAGTTTAGCTAATTTTGGCTTCTTTCTGCTGTTATGTTAATTGTGGCATTTAACTTCTGTTTTGCTGGTTTTTGCTTTTTAATTTTAGCTTTTGTTTAGATTTTGTTCTGAATGTTTTACTGTAATTTCAGCTTCTTTCACAAATTTCAGCAGTCAGTACTTTGCAGAAAACACTAAAATGTTCTGTTATAGTTTGAAATAAAATTTGCTCACTTATTCTTGGCATCATTGAGCTCTCTGTTGTTCCTGTGACTGCAGCCTCTCGCCGTCTGTAGTCTTCTCCACTCTTCTAAAGCTCTATGCTCATCTGCCAAACAGCTGTAAATCACCAGGCAGCAAGGGGGGCCAGGTGCTATTGGATAATGAGGATAGATACTTTCTGCATAATGCCAGGGGCCCTGTCCTCTGTCGTTCCATACTTGCATTAAAGTCATTGGATTAGTGAGTGTGTTGACTTGAAGTATGGTACCCGCCTCAGTTAAGACCAAAAGAATCTCTTTGTGCAGGCAGTAGTCCACACACAAAATCCTGTCGTTTGCCTTGAAAGAAGTCAATATTACTCCAGTCTCAGCAGCCACAAGATTAATGCGACTATCAGAACTGCTGCAGAGAATTCGTGCTGGATAAGAAGGAGGGAAATTTGAGACCAGGATTTGTCTCAGTGGAGCACATTCCTCCTTTCTCAGTTTACAGTGAAGGGCATATACAGTTCTGATGGTCCAGAAGTCCACCCCGGTGTTTGAAAAAGAGAAAAAAATACCTTCTTTTTTGGTGCCTCCTACATGCAGCTGAGAGTTTTTATGTTTTGTTTGGACACGTTCGACTGCCTCACACTCCTCCACATTCCATGTACGGATTGTACAATCCGCTGAGGATGATACCAGCATGTTTAATTTAGAGCAAAAGACCAGGGAATTCACCACATCTAAGTACAAAAACAACCAGAAAAAAAAAAAAATAGTCACACTGAAAGTGGTGGTAGAAGTTGAAATATGGAGCAATTGAGCCTTAACATTACCATCGTGTCCTTTAAAAGTCACTCGTAGAGCCCAGTCTGGACCCCATACTTTTATGGACAGCTCTTGGGAGGCAATGATCAAACAGTCCAGTTGATAGCAGTACTCCATTGCAGTAATCGCGCTGAAAGGGGCATTATTTAAAAAAAAAAGTTTAATAATAAATTGTCAGTCTAAAAGATATCATCCTTCATCAGTTTCTTTTTTGTATATCTGAACAATAATTCTATAAAATGTGTATGACTGTTAAAACCTTAATACCAAACGCCAACAGTGATTGCACATACCCATACATACCTTGAAGAAAGCTTGTTCCTATGCTCCAAAACCCTTCCGATATCGAGGTCAATCACAGTCACAACCATGCCGCTAGCAACAAAGGCTCTGTGGGGCCTATCAGGGCGTGGAGGAGCCAGGTTCAGGTGGGTGATAGTGCCATGCTTCTGCAGCCCATCCTCAATCTTCACCTTGCACTTCATTAGCAACACTGACCACACACACACATTCCCCACACCTGCGGTCACCAAGTCATAGGAGTGTTCTGCAGGCTTACACACGTGTATGTCTAAAGCGTCAGCAGCAGTTTTCACAAGACGTAACTCGCTGTCCAGAAATGTGCAGACAGGCCCGGGACCCCAGCCCACCAAATAACCCGGGATCTTTGTAGCAGTCAGGCCCAAAAAAGGCAGCTCTGTCATGAGCGTCTGCTTGTGGTCAACATGGTTGTAAAGGCAGACTGTGTTGTCAGAGTGAAGGCTGATGAATGCTGCAGCAGCCTCAGAATACATCATGAAACGTACTGGGCTGTCCGTGGAGAACTCATGCAGGTGGTGGAGACGGTGATCGAGCGGGTGCCGCTGTTTCCTCGTAGAGACAACAACCTTCAGACACGTAAAGAAAGCAAAAATATTAAGCTCTCACAATACTGGTAGAAAATCAGCATCAGAGGCAGACTTGCAGTACTCTGCATTGCAAAATACCAAACTCACAGCGTGAATTATTTATTTTAATTGCAATTATAAATCTTGCAAGTAGGACTTATGTCTTTCAATGAACAATAAGCTGCAAAAAATCTTGCATAAAAATGGGTTTTAAAAATAAAAAACATTAATATGGAGCCCCAGCCTACTTGTCTGTGCTTTGCCTTGCCTTCCCCCCAAATGACTAAACCCGCCTCGGATCAACATCAAGGATCTTTACCTTTCCTTGAGACTGCTCCTCATCCAGTCTGAACAAAGTCTCAGTGTGGTGAAACAGCAGCTCTGGTGTGCTCATCTCTTCTGGAGCAGTCACAACTGCTTAAGACTCAATGCAATGATCTTTAAAAAGGGACAATGCAATTATTTAACTAAATGTCAATAATATTGCCTTTATAAAAACTGAAATCTTATTGAAATTTAAAAGCTTCGGTCAATTTAGGGTTTTGGTTCACATCAGGTGGTAATCACTTTTTTTTAAAGACGACTTTTTTTAACTTAATTGAAGTGAAAAAATGAAGTGAAACTATTAATATACACTGAAACATCAGGTAAAATAGGTACAGTTGGGGATAAAAAGCACATATAACATAAAACCCAACTAGCTGTAAATTATGAATTTCAATTAACATTTAGTTATACTTGACTAAAACATTTTCAAAGCTTTGTTTTACTGGACTTACCCGTTTCCAGCATTTGGTGGATTCTGTGTTTTCGTTTTTTTGCTAGGCAACAATTTGCTGTTACCTCCACGGTTACGGATGTCAAAACATTTTTGTTGAAAATAAAATAAGTTTAAAAACAAAAAAAAAAATAAAAAAAATAATAATATATATATGTAATGGATCATTACATTTAAAAACCTAAATTTAGACATTTTTCATGCCAGCATGTTTTATTACATTTCTTTCTTTCATAATTTAAAATATGTGCGTTGAAATTGTGTCTCCAAGCTAATTTATTTTTGATTAATAAACCTAAAAAATGCAATTTATTTTATTACTTCTGCTTTGTAATTCAGAGAGTCAGAGTTTCTTTATTGTCATTCGCACCTCATGTGGTACATGTGGTGGAGCGAAATTATGTACACGGGGTCCCAGTTACATCCAACAATAAAATGTATAAGAAAAACAGTAATAACATCTAAGATATGAACTAAGAAAAACATCAACCAAATATACACCAAACACTCATAACATAAAACATTGAACATCAGCACAAACATGAACATGAGTCCGTGAGCAGACGTGCACGCATGAACACATCAACATTGAAACAGATCAGCAGCAACATGAAACAGATCAGCAGCAACATATGGTCTTTCACAGTGACCATTCTAGCCAGAGATTCATGAGTCCAACAGCCTCAGGGTAGAAGCTGTTCCTCAGTCTAGTGGTTCCATACTCAATGCTCCTTAACCTCCTTCCTGAGGGGAGTGGGGCAAAAAGTGTGTGTGCTGGGTGAGTGGGGCCCCTCACGATGCAGGCGGCCCTCTTCCCGCATCCGGAGGTGTAGACGTCTGTGATGGTGGGGAGGCCGATTCCAACAGATCCCTGTGCAGCCTTCACCACTCTCTGCAAAGCTCCTCCCCCTGCAGCCGCGCAGCCTCCATAAATTCCACATTTAAATTAAAATCTATTTGTGGAAATTAGAATTGGCCAGGTTTGGACAGACTAGATGGTATATGTCAGAGAAATACTTACCAGTAATCAAATAATGACAATAATATTTGTGTAGTAAATGTATTCTATATTGTGCTATTGTACATGAATAACTCAAACGTTCAGTTTATTGTTCAATAAATGTTAACAAAAATAGGTTAGACTGACAAAATATTGAGTCTTATCAATAAATAGTGCATCCTCCTCAGTGTAATAAATGTATGCATCTCTGCAAAAGATCTTTTTTCTCTAATAACATTATTTTTCTAACAATTGATTTAAGTAAACATAAACAAACAAAAAAAATCACATTTATTACAACAGAAAATACAAAGTGGCCGCTACAAAAACGGATTCTTCAAATGAATTTTTGCTTTCCCCGAGTTAAAAAAAAAAAAGAAACTGTTGCTGTAACACGTTGATGATCACATCGTGTCACTTCAGTCAGATAAGACGCAGTGTTCAAAAGGCTCGAGTTAAAAAACTCTCCAGCTTCCCCTCTTCTGCTGGGCTGGATCCAGACAAACTTCTTGTGAAATAATGCAGTTCTAGTTTTCCTGACTCGTGTGCCAGGGCTACTCCTGAAAATGCGTTTTGTTGTCCCGAGTCTCCGAACACAGACACGGCTGTCGCCCTGAAAACACAGAACGCACACCTGAAATAAGAACATAGAGAAAAAACAAAACCCATGAGCCGTTACTCGTGTCTCGGCGGTGTTACCTATCAGAATTCATTCTCTCAGTTATCACCGGCTGAGCGTCACTTTGCAACAGGTCCCATATGTACAGGTTTGAAGCGGCATCGAGCACGCAGAACACAGTCGGCCTGGTCTGACTCCACTGCAGGGAGGCCACAGGTTCTCCAGCTGTGGAGTTCCTCCACTCTGCCACAGGCTGGTCCTGGCTGACTGCATGCAGCCGGATGCTGCCATCTCCACAGCCCACCTAGGAAAAAGATGGAAACAAACACAACAAAGCACAAACATACTTTCAAAACTATATTATAGAACTCCTCAAATTTGGAGTATGCAGTAAAAAGAGACTTTAGATAGGAGAGCAAAAATTACGATTACTTGATCAGTTAATTATACTTTTTTCATTCTAGTCTTTAATGAGCCAATAAAATGAGTTACTGATCCATGTAAGGGATTTTGAAGAATCATATTTCTCACAATGCGTTTAAAAAATAAACCTTCTTACCAAGAACAAGTGTGTTCTGAAGGGAGAGAAGCTGATTGAGCTGACGTCAACAGGTCGCTCTTCCACCTCCTGGAATCTGTAAGACTTTGGTGGAGCCTTCAGACCGTGACTTGTTCCATGACTGACCAGACCCTGGACAAAAACGACATAAACGCTCAAAATCAAACAAGGCCAGCGCTTTCTAAATATCCGAGGATATTCGTGTAGAAGTGCATGATTAGGCTCACCAAATTGGTGCCAATAAAGAAATGACTGGAGTCTGTGGGGAGAAATTTTAAAAGCAGCGTCTGTATCGGTCCTGTTTTTGTTGCATCTCTTGTCCTGAAGGTTGGACACAGTGACAGAAACAGAAAAATGTAAAAAAATAAATAAAATTAAAAAAAAAAACATTAGAAGTTACACCATTCCTTGATTGCCGGCACTTAAAACTTGATACTGAGCCACCGTTCTTTATAGACAGGGAAAGTGTTCCCATCAGATGCTGAGGCATTACAAACAGGATCAAATGACCACAGAGGAGCAGCTGTGCCCCCCTGGGCTGCAACACTGTGGGGTATTTTAAGCCCAGCGACCAGCAGCAACAGATGATCGTCACAAGCTTTTTATCAATCTAACCTGTCAGCAGTGAGGAGGGAAGAGCTGTGAAGCAATTTTACTTTCCCCCCAGGACGAAGACCTGCAAGTGGGAAAAATGAGAAGCAGCGTGAAGACAGTGTGAGAGGAGGTTTGTGGCAAAAAACCTCTAAAGCATGCCCTTATTACCTAGATCTGTAGGAGAGCCGGCATCATTGCCTTTAGGGAGTTCCAACACCACCTAAAGGACATAAAGTTGAAAACATGAGTCATTTAATATCTGAACAGAAAAAAGTCTTAATGTTAAATAGTATTAAAGCAGGTAAAGAACTAAACTTAATGTGTGGAGCTCTGTTTTGTTTAAATGTTGAAAAGCAGACTATAATAGACCTTGTTAACAAAAAAAATAAAAAGGCTGAAACAAGAATCAGGTTTTGGAAAGAAGAATGAATTAGTGATTTGATACAATTCAAAAATAAAAAGTGGCTCAATATATTATCCTTCTAGACCAGGGGTCTGCAATCTGCGGCTCTGGAGCCACATGCGACTCTTTGGTCATTTCTCTGCAGCGGCTCTTCCAAGCTTTGACCCAAACTGGCATAAAACTGAATTTTATTGGTTATACAAACAACAAAAAAGGATGAGTTCAAACAGATTTGCTGGCATTTCTTTTGCAAATATGTGAACACTGAAGCGAGTACAAGGAGTAAAACTTTTATCTTTATGCTTTATTTCTTTAAATGAAGCTCTGTCTGCATAGTTTATAGATTTGCTAATTATAAACAGATGTTAAAAACTGAAAAATGTCCCCTTTTACAAGAATCTGGTCTTTTTCTTTAATAAATGTTAAAAATCATTAGATACAGTATATTTTGCTTTATGTCACCCTTACTGGCCACAAAAGTCACCTCCAGCAAACCTACAGTGGCCATTGGGCCACCAGTTGATAACCACAGGTGTAGCAGGTTGTTGCGACTCCGGACAAGTTTAATGTAGTGAATGAACGTGAAAAATGGCTTGTAAACGTTGCAGAACTCACACGCCTCAGAAAGTGAAAACTTCAGATCTAGATTTGTTTGTTGTTGCTTAACCTACCCAGAAGTTTAACAGCCCACTCTCATCCAGAGAAGCTAGCTGGCACGATAACCCCGTTGGCTCTGCATTATAAGAACATTTCATCAAATATGGCCTGATCTGTGTATGTCCTGAAGGAACATGTAGCACATGAGGTTCAACAAGTGTGTTCACTATTACCTTTCTCGGATGCGAAAAATGGGACCTCTGAACTCAGCCTTCCGGCTACAGTGGAGGAGACGACTTCTATAGAGGTCACAGGTGAGAAATGGCCTGAGCCAGACAACACAGAGTCTGTGTTGACAGGATGACAAAAAAACAAGACGTGAGCACTCGCTGTATTTTGCACCACAGACTAAGCCTGCCGCGATAAACAATAAACCAATGAATCACATGATAAATGAAAATTATCGACCTCATTTTCATTTTTCGGCTTCATCGTTTCTTCGTGTGTCTCTCTTTCTACTGAAGACACCGGATGACAAAAGGCTCAACTCTGGTGTCTTCACTGACCCCTCCGTTTTTCTTTTCTCTTTAAAATCTATTTTAACAATCCAAAATCACGTTTTTGGATTGTTAAAAGCAACTAAGCTGAGAAGCTAAGCTACGAGCTAAGCTAACAGGCCGACCTCAGGGAAAAAACCTCCGTCTTGTCAAAGCTCCAAAATTCACAGTTGAAACCTGTGCCTTCATCTAAAAAGTTGTTTTTCTCTGCAGAAAGAAGCTGATAACGTGTTTACTGATTTTTTATTAAAAGCTTTGTGTGACAAATGCTATGCTAAAGAGCTCAAACCACGCCGAGCGTCCGCCGTTTTGAGAACCGAAAAACAGGAAGGAGAAACTGCCCATGTCACGTCAAGGGGCCTCCCTCCCATTTTTCTTAAAGAGACGCAGCTCGCTCCATCACTATCCATCCTTCGGTTCAAACTGTCTTATACTGCCACCCAGTGGTCAAAAAAGGTAGTACACACAAAAATTAACCAACATTTCTTCTTAAATTTGACAATAATTACTAATTATGGTCATACTTCAAACAATATTATCGTTTATCGCAATAATTTCCGAGACAACAAAATTTGCTATCGTGACAGACCTACTACTGACCAGCGAGACTAAACAGCTTTGAACTTAAAGTGTTAAAGAGCAGAGGAAGTGCTGAATCAGTATGTACAGGATAAATAATTGTGCAATGTTTACAAATACTCATTTAAGGGGAGGACTGGAGTATAAAGAGTAATATAAGGTATTTATGCTCTGAAGAAAATTAGACCAAAGCTATACATACTTTGTATAATTTTCAACAAAATGGGCTAAATACATTATAATAAATGAGTGTTTTCTGTTGAGAACAGGTATTTAAGATGGAAGTATGGTAAGTGAAAATAAAATGTCTGCTAACACACCAGTGGAGAAGGTAGGCTGTCTGAAGGTCCACTCATCCTCCCCGATCTTTAAACTGTAATGTTTACTGGTTTGTTCCCTAAGGTCCCACAGCACCACAGAACCAACAGAAGTACCTGCAAACACCAGAGTGGCCTTTTCAGGGCTGAAACAGCAACACTGCACCTAGAAAAAAAAAACATTACAGGGAATTAGTGTTTTAGGTGTTATAACAATATCACTGGGATTTGCTCCAAGGTGAGCCCACAGATTATATTGCTGGGTTTTCTGCAACGTATAAAGCAGAGTTACATAATTTTGGTTCAGCTGAAATTTAAATTGTGGGTATTACAAGGTTATAATTCTTTAGAGAAAAAGCAAAACAATCTTTTTTGTGTGTGTTAAATTGATCAAGCTTTTTTACAAACAAAAAAAAACACAACAAATATATTACAAAAAGTGTTTCTAGGATAGAACACAACACAATATGACATTATGATATAGTATAATAAACTTTTCCCTAGATACATTTTGGACTCAGTTCTTATAAAAAAAAAAAAAGAAGAAAATAAAAATACACTAACTTTCCTGTAACTGAAAATGGATTCTGGAAATGTTACCTCTGATTCATAAAGGAGGATCTTCTGAGGTCTGGACGGCTCCCAGATGTTCCAGATACAGATGATGGTGCTGCTGTCAAGCCGAACAGCGCTCACTTTGGCTGTGGGCAAATGCACCGACAGCATGGTGTGTCTCTGAACCTGAGAGAAGTGCACCAGGCTGATTTGTCGACCTGCAATTTACAATCCATTAGTGAACATCACACGAGAGAAACAGTCAGTGAAAAGCGATGCACTAAATTTTCAATAGTTTCTGTGACTCTCAACAAAATATCTAAATAAACAAACAACGGTGCTATTACTATAAAGATGCGTACCTAAAAGAAAAGGCAACTTAGTGTTGAGCTGTAAACTTCCATCGCTGAACAAAAGTGATTTGGTTTGGACCTTCAGCTGTCTTAGGGAGTTTCTCTCTGCTTGATCCTCTTCCAACAACACCATCATGACCTGGATTTGCCCCCCAAAAAAAGATGACGAATGAACAACTAACAACTGAGGGAAGGTAATTTTTGGGGAAAGTGAGAGATTTACAAGTTGTGTGAGTAAATAACTAAAATGACCATCTACAACCTGTGAGGCTGACTGCAGAAATGACGTCAGGCGCTGCGAATCGAAGTTCAGCTCACTTCTGGTTCTTTCTCGTGCCTCCTGAGAGAGGTTTGGATCTGCCAAGACAAAGATTATTAAACCTAACTATGGTAAACCTCTGCACTGATCAGAGATCAGTTATCTTTACTTACCACCACAGGCTACGTTGTGCTCTGGGGGATGCTGTGTCCACTTTTCACACGTTTCTATTTCCTCTGTCTGAATGTCTCTGTCCGCATTATCCTCATTACACTGAACGTATGCCTGGAAGGAAAAAAAACGTTCTTTCATACATGCAGTTTCTCCTTTATAATGTTTTGCTCCGGTGTTTTGTTTAAAAAGTAAATCAACAGAGAACTGACCTGTTTGGTGTTTGCATTTCCAAAGTTTCTGATGTACAGCTCATATTCGCTGACAGGAGGTAAATCCAAAACGGTGAAAGTCGTGGAGAAGTCCAGATCAATTAACCGAAGCAGCTCTGTGCTTCGCTTTCTGAGATCACAGAGCATATCCATTGGAAAGCATTCAATGACATACACCGTCAAAATCATTATTATTATTCATGAAAAAAAGTGAAAACTCACTTCTGCTTTGTGGCGACTTTCTTGCTCACTTCACGTTGCTTCGCAGCCACAAAGTTGATAAATTTTCCACGTTGGGAGGCTTTAATCTGATTATTTTCAGAGTCTGGAAACAAAGCAGTTGAGATTGTATTATTTCTGCTATAATCCTGCACAGAGAACACTGACAGTCTTCTATCTATCACATGTCAACATATATAAATGTGAAGAGACTGCACCTTTGGACCATGTGGGCACATCTTCCTCCTCTCTGCTCATACTTTGTCTGGACTTGGTTGTTACAGCTCTCTCGTTCTCTTCAGCCATGGCTCTCTGAATGGACTCAATCTCCTTTTTCTGTTGCGCTGTGAGCTCCTCCTTCTCATCATCCACCACCAAGTCCTTCTCATCCTCACCTTCATCTTCACTCTCATCAAAATCATCTTCATAATCCTTTAGTAAGAGAAATCCTATGCATCACTTGCCACATGCAGTCCTATAATCTAAACGCCAATAAATAGGTACGCAAGCAAGATGAACACAAAGATCACAGTTTCACAATGAATACTCACCAGTTTCTTAGAATAAAAATTGATAAAAGCATGCAAAAACAAACAAATGAGTGTTAAAATAAATACAATGACAAAATGAGAGCCATAACAACAGCTTTACTTGCCGCATTATGTTGCTGCATCACGTTTTACCTCAAAATCATCTTCATATTCTTGCTCTGCCAAGTCTTTATCATTATTAACCTAAAAAACATAAATAAACACATTAACCAGAAGAAATGATGCATAAACTTCAGACTAAATATGACATTGCCACACTTTGGTGATGATGAAGCTGAATGTGGAAGTGCTCAGCACACGAGAGAAAGCATGGATAGATTCAACAAGTGACCCTTGCAGGAAAAAGACTAGTCTGTCCTCATTAATGATTTTGTTTTTATTCCTTCTTAAGCATAAAAGAAGATAGTACAGTGATCCCTCACCTATTGCGAATGGATTAAGTTCCCCCACGATAGGTGAAAATCTGTGAAATAGCGGTGTTCTATTTATTTTTTATATAGGTTTAAGGATGTACAAACTCTTCCCAAACTCTTACAAACTTTTCCCACTCTCTTATTAATGTTTCATATGCTCTTAAACACTTTGGCGATGGTGATGAAGATGATGGCAATGGGATGAATGTACAATACTGCACTGCACGTACAGTACGCACATAATTAAAAAAAAAAAACGGGTTTAGAAAACCCGTGATGAGTGAAGCTGCAAGGAGTGAACCGTGGTATAGCAAAGAACCACAGCAAACAATGGTCAGAGTGTAGCTGACTCTGTCCAAGGACAGTCAATGTGTGAAAACAGACATTATTCAAGTCAAAAGTAACTTCAAAGAAAACCGTTCAGGGTGAATTTGGTAGACGGCACAAGGGTCAGAGGTCATAGTCAGGGGAGCGCGTCTTTTTGCTACATATTCCCCCACTAAGGAGTCGATGCCAGTCCAGATGGCCATCGAGTCACTACAAGCCAAATCCATGAGTCATTAAAAAAACGTTGATGGGGGCAGCATTGACAACCATTGAGGACTACGTCTTGAAGAACAAAGTTGTGAGGTGACTGAGGACACCCTCCTTAGTCAACGAAGAAAAGGAATTATATTCCCAAGGAGAAAGCTTAGTCTTTGAAGAAGTTCCAACCAGTCAAAATCATGTGCAGAGTGGAAAACAACAATCCAGTAGGCAGAGCAATAGATCAGATGTGGAAACAATCGACACAAAGAGAAACTAAACAAAGGTCCTGTCAGCAAAGCAAACAGGTAGTGCAAGCGGTATCAGGATGAAGGTATCCAGTGGTAGGTGCCACCAGTTGGGAATGCGGAATGAAGATGGAGTATTTCCACCACAATTAAAAATAAAATAAAAATCCAATTGTATTTTCCTTAATATTCATTCAACCTTTATTTAAACAGATAAATCACATTGAGCCTCAAAGACTCATTTACAAGTGAGACCTGTTTGGACAGACAAAAATCAGTGGTTAACTGGGCACATGTAGGAGTTGGAGGTGAAAAAATATTACCATCAGACTTTTTTTCTTGCCTGAGACAAAAACCCTCTAATATTAAAAAAACACCTCGCACAAACAAGCACATATTTACGTAGACATTCTGCAATTACCAGACTGTACAATTACAATTGTGGTGACGAGAGCGGTCAACAACGCTTATAGATGCTCTCGAGGTCACTGTAATCAGTCAATGTCCTCCGGTGAGATCCATAAACATTCTCGAGGTATGTCGAGAAATGGCCATGGATAACATCTATGAGAATCCAAGAGTCTTGAAATGATGACACAACGTTTATTCAGCTGGTTCAACTGGTTATCAGTTGGAAATTCCTCAGGGAGAGGGTGGTGAGCGTCAGATCATATTTTCTCCAGGTGAATTCAGATAAGATGACCTTCAAGGCCAGCCAAGGGGAGCCAACTTAGATAAACACACAGTTGTTTTGGGGACAGGCAGAACTTAATGACATCTACCTTGAGTCTGTGTTGGTCAACTCGGTTCCAAAATGTCCAAAATAACATGGCCACACCGATGGAACGTGACTGAGTAAAATCCCCAAGATCTGATCCATTCAGCCCAAAGCATTTGAGTCCGGGTACACGAGACACGAACCAAGCCATCAAAAAGGCAAGCAGCATGATCGGGTCCAAGTTTGCTGCCGACAACTTCCTTGATTGTAGATAAAACCAGCACCAGCTGAATCCAAAATAGCAGGAACCAGTTATCGAAAATCCAATTAAAATATGCGTCCTTAAAATCCACAGAAGGCAGCAGAGATAGACACATCATCAAGTCTTCCAAGTCAATGAGATATCCAGCTGCGTGCATGCCATCAGGGCAAATCGGCTCGCCTAAAGCCTGTCTTCTCTTTGAAGAAATGTTGTAAATTGAGTTGAGGGACCAACTGGTCAAAACAGTCCATAATTATGGTTCGGAAGAAATGCAAGAGAGTCTCACAAGCAGTTTCACAGACAGACAGAGCAGCAAAGCAAAGCGGAGAGGAAGGGAGGGAAGCATCCGATCTCGTCTAGAGCAAGTGGTGATTATAAAGGCTCTTTCACATCTGCTCTTCACAGATTGGAAACAGTTTCAACATGAAAATGATCCTAAAAGTGGCATGTAGAAGACTTTTTGGGAATTCTTTATAAATATCTTAATAAAGCTTTAAAAGGACATAAATACAGTGGACTCACTAACCTTTGTCTCTTCCACCTTCTCATGTCTGTGACTTTGGTCAGATGACAACTGTTTAGAGCTGGTTCTTTCTTGGTGATTTTTTTCCAAGTCTTCCTCTTCTCTGTGCTTTCTCTCTTTGTATCGTCGATCTACATATTCTTCCTCTTTTTTCAAACTCTCTTTGTTTTTGTCCCTTTCTGCCCTTTCACCCCGAGAAGGCCTGACGTTTTCATTAGATGGTTTCAAGTCCTGATGCCTCCTGGAATCACTTTCATGCCTCAGTTTATCTTCCTGAATGACAGAATAATAAACACACAAGAGCAAATATCAATGTGTTTCTGCTAAACTTGTTATTTAGTTGATGATAAATGTTGCAAATGCTTACATGACGTCCTCTGTCTCTGTGTCTTTGTCTCCTTTCTCTTTCCTCTCTGTGGCGTCTATGTTCTTTATACTCTGAAATCAGAAAGGTAGGAAGTATGGCATTAAATAGACACTGTAATCCTGTGAATATGCTAATTTAAGTGTACAGACCTCTTTCTTCTTTCTGTTCTGAGTGATTTCTGTCATCATGTCTTCCTTCTTTGTCCTTCCGCTTGTCTTCATAGTTGTCTCTGCGTAGATCCATGTGCTCTTTGTGTTGGTACTCTGACTCATTTCTTTCTTTCCCACTTTCCTCATGCCATCTTCTCTCACCCTTGTGGTGCCATTCTTCCCTCCTTTTTTCTTTGTCTCTGTTTTCTCTCCTTTTATCCCTGTCCTCATCAGTGTGTCTTTCTCTGTCCCTTATCCTCTCTTTCTCCTTATCTTTGCGCTCATCTTTGTGTCTCTCCCTATCATGCATTTCCTTTCTATCAGGTCTTCTTTCCCTGTTTTCCCCATCATCGACTTGTCTCCTCCTTTCTCTGTCATCTTTCCTGTTCCTGTCCTTGTCTCCTCTACTGTCTTGTGAGCCCTCTTTCCTTCGTTCTACGTATTTGTCTCCATCTTTTCGTTCTCTTGTGCTCTCGCTTTCTCTGAGTTTGCCTCGGTCTCGTCTGGACTCTTCTGGATCTCTGTGACGTCTCTCTGTGGATTCCCCACCACGGTGCTTTCTCTCACCGTCATCTCTATGTCTCATATAGCCTTCATCATACGCGTTTTCCTGTAAAATATTTACAACAGAAACAAATACTCATACTGTAAGGCTATGCTTAGTACTCACACACATGCACACACACACACACATGTGTGTGTGTGTGTGTGTGTGTGTACGTATGTACTGTGTGTGTGTGTGTGTGTGTGAGCTTTACTTTTACACACTTACTCTGATGTGTCTTCTCAGATCAGCAGTTCTCCATGTGTCTTCCTTGGTTATTTTCTAACAAAAACAAAACAAACAAACAAAATATTTACAGTGCTAGCATGCTAAATACAGCGGTCCGTTTAGTTCAACAGTTGAAAACCAAATAAAAAAAAAACGTAAAAACGTAGGAGCAACTTAGCAGAAAGACAAAACGTTTATAAAAAATACATTTAGGCTTTAGCACACGCACAGTAAGAACAAACACGAACCACTAACCTTCTCGGTATGCATTTGTCGTCCGTGTTTGCGTTTAAAGTATTTCAATCGCCGAAGTTTGTCTTGCAATTTTGTAAACTCGACGCCATAATGCTTAATACATAGCGCGCATGCGCACTTAGCTGAAATTATGGCGAACGCGTCACTTCGGCTTGACAACAGACCTACTAATCAAAAGCAAAGCAATCGATTTGAAAAACGACATTTCTTAGATATTTTTGACATATCAACTTGTTTATTTGATATTTTTACTACTTAAAGTATTGTATAGTTGTGTTGATCTTTGTTGTGTTCGAGGGTTGTTTAGCTGCTTCCTTACTAAAGTGTAAAATAAAATAATCCCGAACGATTTCTCTGTGCTCCTTTCAACGCTGAGCTAGAAAAAAACAAAAAAGATCTGTGCCTTCCTGTGTAAATCCAAACATTTTGCAATATTGTACGTTTTACATGTCTATGCTGTTTAGTCTTACTTGTACAGTTTTCTATTACATGTTTTATTTGCCAATTTTAACTCGGTTCATTTTATAATTTTATGGTTTTGTGTGTAATTTGGAGGATTATGTGTCATTTTTGTTCCATTTTTACATTTTGTTAAGCTTTTGCATTTGATTAAAGTCATCTTTAAATGAGTGCAAAGACCCTTTAAATTGGGACTATACAACTATTAGGAAGCATCTTTTTACAACAACGAATAACACATTTTGGACACAGAAAACAGTTGCTTTGTAGTATAATAGTAGAAAGAAGCCATTTATGTGAAGTGATACAAAAACAACATTAATCAAAACAGCAATTATCTACAGCCTCAACTAAATTCACCAAATTGTTTAGCAGTTTGTCATTAATCTAGATTTAAATTGCCAAATATGAGCCTGGAAATAGTATAATTTCCCCTGAAATTCGTTTTAATTTTTCTAATTAAATTTTAGAGCATCTGTTTGCGTCTTGACCTACTTTCATCATGATGAGAAGTTCTGATTAATAAATCTCAGTTACCACCAGTGAACACCAGATGGCGCTAGTTCTTTGTTTTCCCAATAATAACGCTAGCGCTTTCTTATCATTCCTGCCCTGTGGAGGCAGAGCGACAAGATCTGTAGGCTTTACGGGCATGCTTTATATCTATATAGAAATATAACAAAGCAGATGCCAGTGAGGTCTGGGAGGGCGATGAGAGGGAGCGCAGGTGAGCCGCAGGCTGCCCTGAGAAGCGCGTCGCGCATGGGAACTCCGTCACTCCACCAAAATCTGCCTTTGACAGTTTGAGGACAGACTCCGGGGCGCAGGCAGGGACATGTCAGGAGACAGCATGACAGCTGTACGAGGAGCCCACTCAAACAGCGCGAGCTCCGCTTCACCCAAGGAGAATGGACAACCAGCTCAGCCCAACTTTCCCCATCCCTCATCCGTGAGCGCAGCGGACGCGTGTCCAACCAGCGAGCTGACCCACACCTGGGTCCACTTTGTGAAAACCTTCGTGCTCATCTTCCCAATATATGTTTTGGGCTATTTTGAGTTTAGTTTCAGCTGGCTGCTGATTGGACTTTTTATCTTTTTCTGCTGGAGGAGAAGCACTGGAGGAAAGCGCACCCGGCTGAGCCGAGCTCTGGCTTTCTTTGACCAAGAAGAGGAGAGAAGTGCCAAGCAGGGTCTTACAACCTCAGATTTACCACCATGGGTAAGACCTCAAGAAATACTCCACATCCGTTTGCTCTTGCTGTGTGCTATTTTGGTCAGCAATATTTTACGAGTTTCCAGGAAAATAGGCATCAGCTGAGCAGATCAGGTGTGGCAGGACTGAGCTGTAAAGCTGCGATGAGGCAGCTGTCCTCCCCAAACAGTGACTTGATCTGTCCCAGTCTAAAAACAGAAGGGTACAATGGTAAACCAGACACCACTCTGGGAGAAAAACATGTCCACGAGGTCTCTGTTATTTTAGGATCCACAGGGACAGTCTGCTGCAGAAAGTCAGCCTAGTTCTGCAACACTTCATCTCAGTAAAAGTGTCAACAGAGACAAAAGAGTGCCCAAAACCTCATCAAAGACACCAACCTATGAGGTAGCATTGATAAACTATCATCTAAAATCAATTTATAACATAATAATTGATATTTTAGCAACATCTATTTTTTTAATTTTACCAAACGTGTAATGCCTAAAGCATCAAAGTGAGACGTGTGGAACTATTACATTTTCCTCTTGAAAATAGGTGAACAATAGATTTAAACACATTCTAAGTGGGGATTTTTTAACGGCCTGTTAGCGCAAATTTAGAAAATTATCTTGGGAAAACACAAAATAAAGACAAAATTGGTTTCGTAATAGGGTGATATGAGTTTAGTCTAAACTCGATGAAATTGCTAAACATTTAACCCAATCCTCACTGTGAATTCTTTTCAGTGTGTTCTTATATTGCGAGAAGAGTTCAGAGCACATTTCGCTGACATGCAGCTGAGGGTGCATCGATGCTGTTAAAACAGGGTGATGGAGGGGTCAGATGAAGTGGAGTGAAAGCATCCCACTTTTAGAAAAATAAGCTCTTCTGTCTTTAAAAGCTGGGATCTATCAGGCAGAGTGCTTTATTTTGGACATGCCTGTTGCAGCTGTGCATCAGCTTGCAGCACTGAAACAACAAGTTTCCATCCGCTCCTAATAGACAAACTGAACACAGATTTTAGTTAGATTTATCTTTAACTCTAAATCTAGTGTCAGATTATTTAAGTAGAAGAAAGTCTTGACCGTTTTTGGTGCTTTCATTAATGCAGTGCCCCTATTCTCAGAAATCATTTGCTAAAGTGCATTCTTTTGTTTCCCAGTTTATGTCCTCAGCTCGTTTTGTTCACATCAATATCTAGTGTAGAAGGTACTGCAACCATAAAAGAGTCTGCAAAGCTTTGGTCAGGATTCTTCTCAAGGTGTTGCAAAAGAGCAGATAGTGAAATCTAAAAAAGTTAAATGTGGTCATCTGGACATTCAAAAAAACAAAACAAAGCAAAACAACAAAAAAATGTAGAAACGTTTCGTCTCTCATCCGAGAGACTTCCTCAGTCTTTTTGAATGTCCAGAGGACCAGATTTAACTTTTTTAGATTTTTCTACCTGGATTATTGAGCATGCATCAGGAAACAGATAGTGAAATGTTTGTCAAAAGTGCCACCATCAGTTTTACCATTTTTATCTCAAATCACAGATTAGACACGGAATCAGACACCCAGGCTTGTTAGGTGCCGTGTAGATCTTGAGTTGGAAGCAGAAAGAGAAACAAAATATCAGAAAACGGCATCATTTTGGTTGTTGTTCTTCTATTTTACCCTTTAAACAAATAAAATCAGATACCGAGTCTGACCTAGAATGTGATTTTGTTCTAGAGTTGCGCCGCTCAAGGTGGCTGCATGTTGGACGTTACTTTCATTCTGGGATATTGTTTTTGAAAACTTTATTTCCCCTTTTTTCTGAACATAAATGGATTTTTTTTTTTTTTGGATGATTACTTCTTCTGGTATTGGATGCTGTGCAGCTGGAAGGATTTTTACTGAAACCTTTTTACTTTTGGACGTTTGTTATGAAGTGTAACCATGACAACAAGGTGTTTGGGTTTTTTTTTTTTTACAACCAGGAGCAGCTGATTAACATCTCAAAGCTCAAATATTACCATTACCTCAAATAAAGCCCTAAATCCCACATGAGTTGTAAAGGAGGTGCCGTGGATGCATCTCCGTCTACTTGGCGGAGGTGCTCAAGTGACAGACTGCTGAGATCCTGTAGCTGGCAGGAAAGGTGGCTCACGACAACAAGAAGACCAGGATCATCCCCCGACACCTGCAGTTGGCTCTCTGCAATGATGAGGAGCTCAACAAGCTGCGGAGAGGAGTCGTCATCGCTCAGGGAGGAGTTCTGCCCAACATTCAGGCCTGCTGGGTCTGAGTGAACGGATCGGCATCTGCAGCCAGTTTCTTCAGATCCGCTGCAGGATGGACTGCTACAGATTCTTCCAGCCCACAGCCGTCAGCATCTATAACAACTCTTAATGAAACCAGGATGATGAGCTACAGCAACATTTACTTTCCCTGTGGGATTAATAAAGTATTTTGAATTGAACTGAATTGACCTAGAAACACCAAACTTGTTCTTCTTCCAGTTAAGGGCAAGTATTAGCACGGTTACTTACAGTATTTGTTACATTTAAACCATAGGCGTTGGAACCCAAAACCCGGTGCTACAGTACCGTCAGGTGTTTGTTGAACCAAAGCAAATATCAGTAACCACTTTAGTCTCTGTCTGGAGGTGACAGTAAAAGAGAAAACCTAGTAAAAATTCTGTGAGTCTCAGATTAGAGTTTATGAGTCATAGCAGTGTTTGATCTGCTTTATTCAAAACAGAGTGATAAAACCATTGAGCTTTAACATTCATAAGAGATTAGGGTAGGAGTTTATTAAAGTGGGCTCCTAATATTGTGTAATTTAATCATCCTGCTGTTTCCTGTAGGTATTGCTGTTCAACTGATAGGATAAATCCTGCAATCTCTGTAGAACAACCATCTCCCTCCCTCCAAGCTTATTTAGCTGTGGAGCCACTTAGTGGAAAACCCCCGAGACAACACAAGTAATGAAGTCACTGAGAACAACGTGCCACCGTGAATGTAACTGTAGTTCTGCGAGTTTGTTACAGTTGTGATGATCGCGCGTACCAAGAACCTAATGATGTGAACCGAGGAGTTAGTTATCAGCCTGAGCACAAGACTGAGGTTTTAGTTTTTGGACCTGAGCATCATGAATTTTTCAGTCTTTCTCCCTCCTTGGATGACATTAATCTGTCCTCCAGCTCTACTGTTAAAAATCTTGATGTTATTTTTGGACATTTCTTTTATCCCCCACATTAAAAACATTACTAGAACTGCCTTCTTCCACCTGCGTATTATCACTAAAATTAGAAACATCTTATCTAGAAATGATGCAGAAAAACTGGTTCATGCATTTGTCTCGTCTAGACTGGACTGTTGTAATGGTTTGTTATCTGGGTGTCCAAATTCTTTAAAACGTCTTCAGTTGATCCAAAATGCTGCTGCCAGAGTCTTAACTGGAGTTACTGGGAGAGATCATATCTCTCCAGTTTTAGCTTCTCTCCATTGGCTCCCTGTCAAATCCAGAATTGAATTCAAAATCCTACTTCTAACCTACAAAGCTCTCAACGACCTAGATCCATTTTATATTCGAGATCTTATTGTTCCATATTTTTCCAACAGAGCACTTCGCTCTCAGGCTGGAGGCTTACTTACGGTTCCTAGAGTTTCCAAACGAAGAATGGGAGGAAGATCTTTCAGTTATCAGGCTCCTCTATTGTGGAATCAACTTCCAGTTTCTGTCATTGAGGCTGACACATTGTCCAGTTTTAAGACTGGGCTTAAGATTTTCCTTTCTGATAAATCCCATAGTTAAGGTTGGCTTGTTATGCTGCTATAGGTTTAGACTACTAGAGGATAAATTGACCTAATTTCCTTAAATTAATTGTTAAAATTGAATAGTTTTAATTTTATATTAACCTGCCATTGTGTATTTGTTCCTCCTTCTTGTTCCTCTCAAACCCAGCCGGTCAAAGCAGATGGCCACTTTTCCTGAACCTGGTTCTGCTAAAGGTTTCTTCTTCATGAGGGAGTTTTTCCTTTCCACTGTCGCCTTCATGCTTGCTCAAGATGAGAGTTCTGCGATGGAGTTAAACTCAAAGCAGTCTGCTCCTCAGATAAATAATGTTAAATTATTATTTTGTCTAAATAAATGTTTCTGTTCAGCGCTCTGATACGACTTCTGTTGTGACTTGGTGCTATATAGAAAAACTGATTTGAGTTCACTGAAGATAAACATTGGGATGGACAAAAAGTGTGTGGAGAATAAAAACCAAAATCTAACTGAAATAAACACAAAGAACCAGCCCTGCCAAAGTCATTCAGAGCAAACAAACAAACAAACACAAAAGCATTGAACAGAATCTGAACCAAGTGAACTCGGAGTTCCTCACAGAACACGCCTAGTGCATGTCAAACGACAACAATACCTACATGACACAAGGCTCAGGCTCGATTTTTAGTTATTTCATGAGTCCTTGCTCATATTTAGCTTTTATTTGTGCTTCTTTTAAATTGCTTCATGTCTTATTGTGGTTGCTTTGCATTCTTCTTTTGCATCTAGGAGTGGTCCTGTTGCTTCAATCTCTGCATGCATCCCTGTTCTGTTGGGCTGTGGTGTTTATCAGTGAATGCCACAAATAGTTTTTTATTGCTGAAAACTTTTGTCTTCATTAAAACAGGTTTGACATCAAAGAAAAATAAAGGCTGATCATTCCTTGAAGGAATGCACACGGCTCTTTGCCTTTCATGCTAAAGTTGTCAGCTCTCATCATTGTGACAAATGACAAAAACATTATGCACAAATTAATGCATCCTCATGTCATTCAATGTTTTTGTTGTGAATGATTCTCAGCTACATCCACTGAATTTGAGCAAATATTTTGTAAAATTTACAGAATTTTGGCATATTTTTTTTGTGTTTTTGAATATCAGTTGGCTATTGTGACCAACTTGACGATGACTCCAAAAGTTATACAGTTGTAGATAAACATCCATATATTGTTTCCTGAAAGCTTTATTCTTTTTACATCCTGTGGTTCATGAGATATTTTGCTAACAGACAGGGTTGATTTTAAATGCATACACAAACTGGACTCTAATAACTAATGGCAAAATTGTACAAAAAATAAAATAAAAAATCACAATTATTAGCTCCAAATGTGTGTTGGAGATCATTTTTAGCTGCTACCCTTCCAAACTTTAGCTCAATATCTGCAAAACTGACTTAGTTAAAAAAAAAAAAAAAAAAAAAAATCTGATTTGTTTTCAGTTGGTATGACATCACGTCAACAATGATGGCTTCAACAGAACACTTTATTTTATGAATCAATAGTTATGAAGCATTTTATCAAGTTAATTATCATCACCTCACTTATAGTTTCACAATACTTGGCAGAAATTCTTCCACTTATATGAAACTAGAGGCCTGAACTGGAACTTTCTCTTCCCCATCGTCCTGCTCCTGTCACCCGTTCATCAACACTTTGACACAAATGCTGCATAAGCACCTTCCCTGACTGACGATGCGCTGTCTGTTGTAACTTTTACATTTCGTGCTTAATCTCTTCTGGCACGTTGAGCTCGTCATCACTTTATGCAGATATGAAGTTACTGTACATCTGCTATTTAATGAAGAGGTGTGCGCATCGCTGCACTTTGTTGCAGTGACTTTATTTCAGGCATTTGCTTTATGTAAAATCAATATCTGGTTTACTTTGGTCACGCATGACGATTGGTCAAGCTTCATTTGAGAATCAAAACGTGCTGTAAATGTCTGCAAAGGCAACGCTAGCTCGGGAAAGAAACCGTATTTAATTCATATTTAATTACAAAGGCAAGTCCATGAGTTTTAAGTTGGAAGTTTCTTTCGAATACTTTTGCAGCAGCAACATATCCAGAAGGTGGAGTAATGAATATTTATCCACTGTACATAAAAGCGCTAGATAGAAAATGAATGTTGCTACACAATTTGAACCAGACTCAACAGTTATAAGCAGCTAATATTGAACAGCAGGTACCTTATTTTTTGGAGTATAAGGCGCACTGGATTATAAGGCTCACTGTCGATTTTTGATAAAATTAAAGGATTTTAAGTGTGCCTTATACTCTGAAACATACGGTACATGTAAAAATTAGAGGTAGCTCCAGTGTCTGCCGTGTCGTAAGAATTACAAAACCAAAAGTCCACACAAATGATGGTCCTGATCTGACTGCTGCATGTTGTTTGAGTTAAGACTGGCTGTAATTATTAGTTGCACCTTTACATTATGGTGGTATATTAGTAGATTTGGCCCACTTTAAACTAAATATTGAGCAGCTTTTTTTATGCTTTTTACCACTTTTGATTAGTTAGCTAATCAATTAATGGAGCTCACGTGGAAAACTTGGTAAGGAAACTGAAAGTGAAATTGGGTTTCTTTTTAAGAAATAGATCCTGTCTGAATGTTAGGAAACACCTTGTAACTGTGACTTTCCTTCCCTCCATTGATTACGGTGACATTATTTACATGAACGCCCCTACAAGCACCCTGCAGATGTTGGATGCTGTCTATCATGGTGCACTAAGATTCATAACTGGCTGTGTTTATCGTATCCACCACTGCACCCTGTATTCACTGGTTAACTGGTCATCATTAACTTCCCACAGACTCTCTCACTGGTACATTTTCATCTTTAAATCACTTCTTGGTCTGCTGCCTTCATACATCTCCTACATGTCACTATGTGAGTGCAGCTACAGCGTGCGCTCTCAGGACATTATTACCTGCAGTGTTCCCTCAGTGCGAACTGAACTTGGCAAAAGGGCCTTCTCCTACTCCGCTCCTGTTTCCTGGAATATCTTGCAAAAAGACGAGAAGTTCTCGACCTTGACCTCTCTTAGCGGCTTTAAGCATCTGCTAAGTTCATAGCAAAAGCCAACTCAGACATGTTCCAGTTTTAATATCCTACATTACTTTACCACCTAGCTGTTTTTGTTTCGTTTTTTAAGACAATTTTCTTTCATTTGTTCTTCTCAATTTGCATGCTTTATTTTATGATTGTCTTCTGTTGTCATCACTCTTTGGTAAAATCAGGTCTCTCGTAAATGAGTCCCAGAGGCTCAATGGGACTAACTTGTATAAATAAAGGTTGAATAAAAATTTCAGTGCACGAGTCTTAATGAAGTATCTCCAAAAAAGTTGGTTGAAGATGCAGCAGCACTGTAATAAACGAGTAACATTTGTACATTTGATTAATGTATACTTCATTACAGTTTGCATTTATCAGGGTTTTAAAATGATGTTAGCAGATACTGACATCATCTCTAAGATAATCTGTTCCCTTTTCTTTACTGCAGGTCCATTTCCCAGATGTGGAGCGAGTGGAGTGGATAAACAAGGTAGGAAAGAAAACGTCTAGCATCTTGTCTCTTCAATTTTTTTTAGCTTCAGCAACTTCCTTTTATTATTTGTTTTTAAGAATACTCAGGTATTTGGGATGTTGGTCACCCTGCTGCCTCCTCTCCTGCTGCCACACTGCAGCACATTAGACTTTAACATGCAGCCTTGTGTCTGCGACAGTGTGAATCCCCATGGCAACAACCAGGATGTGCATTCAGGGTAACAAATGAGCAGATATTAAAACTGGAAGACCGAGATTTGGCGGCGGACAAAAATTGCATCTTGATGAGAATGAGTCTGACACCCCCTTTCCAAAAATAGAAGGGTATTTTCCATATTTTGAACTGATATACCTGCATAAGCGTTGCCAAAAAGGATGAGCATCTGATTAAAAAAAACTTTCTCATATGCTCCTGCAGACGGTGAGACAGATGTGGCCCTACATCTGCCAGTTTGTGGAGAAACTGTTCCGCGAGGTGATCGAGCCGGCAGTGAAGGAGTCCCACACCCAGCTCAGCACCTTCTGCTTCAGCAAGATTGACATTGGGAATAAAGTGAGATTCGTCTCCTGTCCCTGCTGCACTGACGGGGTGGTTCATGTGTTGTCTCAGTTGTTATAAAACTGACCGGTGTTAGCAGGTGCTGTGGGACAACTGGCTCAGGGGGCAGCCTGAACGTGAACACGCACATGGAGGTCACTGACACTCGCTGTGCTTTCACAAATAGTTTCCATGGAGGGGACCGGGGAAGAGATTGACCTTGCACCATCTTTGTGGGTGTTGATTGGGGCGGTATTGTTATGGTGTTAATGGTTCCTTCTGTTGTTTCGTAGCCCCTCAGGATCAACGGGGTCAAGGTTTATACAGAAAATGTGGACAGGAGACAGATCATCATGGACCTACAGATCAGGTGAGTCAGCATGATTATTTCACCCCCTTGGCTTTATCTTTTTTTCCTCTTAAAGGCATTTTTTTAATTATTATTACAACACAACATAGTGGAATTTATAGCAATAATTCATGGGATGACTAAGATCAGCTGGCATATCAGTTTACAGTGCAGCTAAACCAACGCACATGGTTTTCATACAAAGCTCTGTAAATACATGACCTCTTTCCATCCCATCCTGAAAAACTCCACATCACTAAAGAGACGTTTTCATCTGGAATGGGAGAGGCACACGTTGCTAAAACACATATTCAGTTAAGGCCATTGTCTGTTTTAAATATAATTTTTGTTAAGCACACCTTCACGAAGTTGAATGAAATCTGACTTTCAAGTTTTGCATAATCTTGCTGACAAATGAACAATACTGTTAAACTTCCATCTTGGGAAAAAAAAGAAGAAAGTTTAAGATATGTAAATTTAAGCTAGTTTTTGCACTTTCTGAAAAAGAAAACTCAATATTTTTTTTATCAAAATCATATTTGAGTGCCTAAAACCCTGAAAAACAACAGTACGGCAACATTTTAATTGACATTAAATAGTGTTAGTATTCCTTGAAGGAAATTCTAGCGTTTAAGATTAAGACCATGCACTGTTGAGACATGATAGAGTTGTAGCCATTTTGGCCAAACTTTTAAATTAACATTTTGCACAATCTATTGTCATATTGCAATATCTTGCACAATCGTGCTCAGAGTTTATGTTGTGAATAACTCAGCCTCCAAGTTTGAGCTCAATTTATGTAAAACTGTTGTGAGTTTCAGCTGTTTTTATGCTTGCAAAGGCCAGTTGGCTGTGGCAACAATCTTGAATTAGATTGAAACCTAAAGTTAATTACACATCCCTAGGAGCAATTTGATAAGTTGGCCTATTCAAGGCCAAACAGGGAGGCCAGATTCAGATGACATTTGTTTTTGTGCAGGCAGCCTTGAGTTCCCCTGGTACTCTTGATGATCCAAAATGGCCAGATTTGTGGGCTTTCCACTGGTCTGTGCTTATTAGCCTTCTCCAAGATCGATTCCAACATGCTGGCGAGTTCCAGAAGCCGCAAGTGGCCTACGATTCTCATAAATCGCTTCCATCTTACGGTTGAGCTCATAAATCAGCTGAGTCTGAGAGCTCGAAGCACAAATTAATCCTTCACATAAGGTTGGCAGCTTTGTCATGGCCGAAACTGTTGCTGCCGTCTTTCTTAATAGCCGATTACATAGGTATTCGCCGTGCCAAAAGCAGAAACCCTGCTATAATAAATCCATCGATGTATAAACCTTCAGCATCCTCCAAAGACAACACAGAAAGGCACATCATCTTCCACTCTCCCCACTTATCCATGATATATCCAGCTGCGTGTGTCACAGCGGGGCATTAGGGTTCTCCAGTACCCTGTTGCTTTGTAGAATTTTTTTTATCAATTGCATTGAAAGTCCAGCTGACCAAATCCATTACAGTAATTTACGGTTCGGAAGATGTGTAAATAGAAGCTCTGATACACAGAACAGAGAGCAAAAAGCAGGAGGAAGGCAGGCGAGGGAAGTAAAAGCATCCGTCTTGCTCGAGGGCGAGTGAGGAAAAAAGAAAGGATCTATTCCTGACTGTGTTTTATTTTTCTCAGCTTTGTTGGGAACACTGAGATTGATGTGGACATCAAACGCTACTACTGCAAAGCTGGCATCAAGAGCATCCAGGTGAGGGAATTCCTGATGATTTGGTTTCTGTCACGTCTTCAGTAAAGCACTTTCATTTGCTTTTTGGAGCGGGTGTCAGAAAAGAAGCTTGAAGCAGATAATTTAAATCAACACCGTGACTTGACAGTCTTGACTCTACGTTGTAAAGCTTTTCGGTGACTAAGTGAAAAGCCATTTCCCTGTTTTTGACAAACAACAATCGGTAGGTTTTGAAGCCATGGTGCAAACAGGAATTGAAGAACTTGGGTAAAAAGGAAATGACATATGAACTAAAGAAACACAAAACCAGCTGATGAGGCAGTCAAACTACTTACAAAACCTGGAATAAACACTGAAGACAAGGGGAGGATGGAGACGGTGTACGTTCTACACTTAAGGCTCCACTCAGAGAGACACAGGAGTAGCAAACATTCAAAGGGCGACGCTAGCGAACAGAAATAACAAACACCTGGTGAGGAGAAAAACTGGAAACAGGTGGGCGGGGCGGGAACAGATCTATGGGGGAAAAAACCACAGGGGGAAACTGAAACACAAGAAGGGAAACACAAGACTCTCAAAACCTAATGAAATGACACAAAAAGCTCAATCAAATCCAGATTCTCACAGACAACAGTTACAACTAAATGATGAAGGCATTTGAACAACTTTGTTCTTTCCAGTGGTGCTATCCTTCTGTATCGTACTTGATTAAATTTCACAGTATAGAAAGAGTTCAGTCATGCAAACACATCCATTAACTTGTAAAACTGTAGCATGAAAGCACAAATAGAGGAAAGATCCTTTAACTGCATTCTGGTAAGTGTAGTTGTATAATAATGAATTAAATAACAGATCTGGGGAATAAAAAACACGTACTGCAATTGTAGACAGCTCTTTTAGAGTTCATAGGCTGGCCTGGTGGCATTTGTCCAGCCTAATGTCCTCTGTAATCTAATCCATTATCATTTTTGTCACCTGAATTATAAACAGCTGGCCTACTGAAGTGCAGCAAAGGTTTAATTTTTTACTTTAAATGTATTTAAAGACTAATTAGTTGCTCAATTTTCTCACATTTAAAACATTACTTTAGCATCTGAATCAATCAAAGAAGAAATATCACTAGGATTACCTCGATTCCTTTATTTTTGTGATCCTATTTTTTCTGTTCATTTTGCTACTTTCAGTGGTTTCACTGCTACATGTCCAATATAATGTACTTAAATAATACTTTAATTAATAAGTAATATGCTAAGAACATCATAATGCATAGAAGAAAGTGCATTAAACGTATTTTTCATTTTTCCATTCAACCTTTATTTGTACATGTTAGTCTCGTTGAGTCACGAGGACTCATTTAAGAGACCTGTGTTAAACAAAAACCACAGATGAGGTTCACACGACAATAAAACAACTATTAAAAAAATGATTAAAAAAATGAAAAGTAAATAAAAGAAGTGACATAAAATGTAAAAAAAAAACATGCTACATTATAGAATGGTGTAAAATACTAAAACAGGAACAAGTCTGTGTTGGTTTTTGCATTGAACTTAACAGTTGTTTAAAATCCCTTAGAGAGGTCCAAGTTGAGAACTTCAGATCTTTTTGCCAGGTGTTCCAGGTTACAGGAGCGAAGAAAGAGAAGGCCCTTTTGCCAAATTCAGTCCTCACTGAGGGGATGCTGCAGGTAATGATGTCCTGAGAGTGCACACTGTAGCTGCACTGATGAAGTGACATGTTGGAGGAGATGTATGAAGGCAGCAGACGAAGACGTGATTTAAAGATGAAAATGTACCAGTGAGAGAGTCTGCGTGAAGTTAATGATGACCAGTTAACCAGTGAATACAGGGTGCAGTGATGTAGTTACACCAAGTTATGAATCTTAGCACAGCATGATAGACAGCGTCCGACATCTGCAAGGTGTTGTAGGAGCATTTAAGTTGTAAATAATGTCACCGTAGTCAATGGAGGGAAGGAAAGTAGAAGTTACAAGGTGTTTCCTAGCATTTAGAGTTAGATCTATTTCTGAAAAAGAAACCCAATTTTACTTTCAATTTTTTATCAAGTTTTCGACATGAGGCTTAAAAGAGAGATGCGAAATGACCAAAACACCCAAGTATTTGTAAGAATCCGCAAACTCAATAGGAACACCATTCGTAGATAAGTTAGAAGGAAGGACTGCTAGTACTGACTTCCTGTTTGAAAACATCCCTTTGATTTTATCAGCATTTAGTACCAGTTTGAGATTGAAAAAATCTGATTGGATGATGTTGACTGCAGACTGTAAGAGCTGAAAAACCTTAGCAACTGTTCTAGCTCGACAATAAACAACTGTGTCATCAGCATAGAAATGTAATGATGTATCAGGAATGATCTGATCTACTTATATAGATTGTGAAGAGGGTGGGTCCTAAGACTGAGCCTTGTGGTACACCATTGTTGACAGTTAAATGGATGGAAGAAGTACCATTATGTTGAACACATTGCCTCATATCTGAGAGGTAATTAGAATTACCTGATATTAGCATCATTTCCCACATTTGGATTCATTATTTTCTTTGTGTAACTTCAACTCAAGCTGTAGTCTTGTTTTCTGCCTTTCTGTGTGGTGTTCTTGTCCTTGGCTCGATGTGGGTTGCAGTAGAGAAACATCACACCAAAGCTGCATTCCTTCTCGGAGTGCTGTTAAGGTTTCCATTCGGGAAGATTTGTTGCTCTCTGTCCCCATTATGTAACTCAGGCAGACCTACAAAGAGAATGTCACCAAGTCATCAAGAACCTCACAGACATTAGTGTCTGTCTATCTTTAAATGCATCACTCAGAGCACGAGTGTTTAAGAAATTCTTCAGATTTGTAACAACTTTACGAGGTTAAACCTGGTTGGCTTTCTTTTGATGGAGTTTATCGACCTATCATAAACTATAAATAATGATAGCGTGAAACTCTGCATAGTACATGGTACTTTTTGGTACAAATAATTATGTCCAAAAATTTAAATTGGCAGGTCAGGACTTTACAAAAATCACAAAACTGGCATAGAAAACTGTGATTAGTGTATTTTTACTGATTACACATGATCACACGTTTGTGTTTTTAAAGCTTCTTTTACTTTTTTTTTCTTTTTACATAACTATGTTTTTTTTTTTACATTCAGATTTATAAACTGACCATGAGTGTCATTTTATAAAAAGCTAATTTTATCTCGCACACTAAAATAATCTGTGTAACATACTTTTTAGCGTTTAATTTTAGGAAATAATCACTTCTTCTTGAACTTTGCCTAGATCTCAGAACTAAAAGAAAAATTCATGTGACGGCATCTTTGGTGAAAATCTACATGCAATTACTCAAAACTGAAAAGATTTGCTGTAAGAACTTTAATGAACCTTCACAACAAATATGCTTTTGCTAGAATTCAAACTTCTTTTGTTTCTGCAATGAATCCCAACAGCTGTTTGGGGTCCACATGACACAACCACAGCACTCCAAATACTATAATCCTTGTAATTTTTACAAAACGATATGGAGAAAGTGGAGGATGACAGTAGCAGGTGTGAAGCTGGACACTGATCGAGTTTCCAACCTGTCATGTGCTTCAGCTCCACCGCTGAAGAACGTCAAGGGCCAGCAATGTGTGTGTGTGTGTGTTTGTGTGTGTGTGTGAGAGAGAGAGAGAGAGTGCTCCCAGTCTGTTTGTGTCTGCCTGTATCAGCATTGTTCATCTTGTGTTTCCATAGATTCACGGCGTGTTGAGGTTGGTGATGGAGCCGTTGCTAGGGGACATGCCTCTCGTTGGAGCTCTGTCTCTGTTTTTCCTCAAGAAGCCAGTAAGTGCAGATCAGAGTATGACAGTAAATGATTAATTCATAGATCAACGTTTGAACATACAACAGTAGTGCATACTGAATTGATTCAGTTTGATTAGAGTGGAAGCTGTTGAACTGTGTGTTGAAATACGAAAGCAGCCTTTAAGCAGGCACCACCAAGCAAGCCTTTCAGTCTTACACTTGTCATGATTTTCTCTATTATCCTGCTGTTTGAATCATTTTTATACCCCATGTTGGGGCATTTTATGTTACTAGTTTTCTGCTTCTCCTCTACTAATTGTTTGCAAGCGTTTATAAGTCTCTAACTGATACTTTTGTAAATGGAATTGCAACAATTTTTTGTGTGTGATGCGGTTCTAATGTTTTACATTTTAAGTTCCTGCTTAAAAAATAATTAAATTCTTGTGAAGTGGGGATATGTGAAGAAGTTTTGAACAACTAATATCTTACATGTTTTAGATAGCATTTTGTTGGCCATATGGTCAAGCTAATGCTATTAACATGTACAACACAGTTAGTTTTACCACCGTTATTATGGAAGAAACATTCCATCCATCCATCCGACATCCATCCAACATCCATCCAACCAGCCAAACATCCATCCAGCCATACATTCATTATCTTTAACTGCTTCTTCCGTTTTGGGTTGTGGGGCTCACTTGTACCCATATCCAGCAGTCACTTTGCAAAAGGCGGAGTACACCCTGGACAGCTCTCCAGTGCATCACAGGGACACAGAGACAAACAAGACAAACAACCATTCACTCTCTCACTCACACCTAGGAGCAATTTAGAATTTCCGATCAGGCTAACATGCATGTTTATGGTCTGGGGAGGAAACCAGAGTACCCGGAGAAAACCCACACATGCACAGAGAGAATATGCAAACTCCACCCAGAAAGGCCCCCGACTGGGATTCGATACGGCGACCTTCTCGCTGAGAGGCAACAGCTCTACCATCTGATCCACCATGCCGCCGGCAGAAACATTATAATGTTGTAATATTATTGCTGTAAAAAGTTGTGTAGTGCAAAATTATTGGCATTTTAAAGATGAGTGAATTAGCACTTTCATTAATCATTATGACATTTAGTAGGATTGGAGCTGTTTTAAGATGGCAGCAAACTACTTTGGTCTTTGCTCTGCTTGGATTACCCAATACTTCATTAATTCAGTCAAAATTAAACAAACTTTCCCCCAAACTGAGGCTCTAAGAGCTGTCAGTAGGTAAGATATTAACTGTTCACAAACAGTCAAAGACAAAGCATCAAAACATCAGCGAGGACCCACACCAGTATGCATACCCCAAGAATTGATCAACAGAGGACAACATCTCCTTTGTGGTCCACACTGCTCTCACCCACCTGGAGCAGAAGGACTCCTACATTCGTATGCTCTTTGTAGACTTCACATCTGCCTTCAACACCATGATCCCCCAAATCTTGATGAATAAACTACGGTACTCACACTAGGACTAAGCCTCTCCCTATGCAACTGGGTCCTGGACTTCTTAACCAATAGGCTGCAGTCTGTGAGGAGCCACAACTTCTCTTCCTCCACCATAACCCTCAGCACTGGCTCTCCTCAGTGCTGTGTGTTGAGCCCCCTCCTGTTCACTCTGCTCACATACTGTATGACTGTACATCTACCCATCCAGGCAAACACTTGGAGAGCTGGTGCAAGAAGAACAACCTCCACATCAATGTGAAGAAGAAAAAGGAGATGATTGTGGATTTCAGAAGGAGCAAACATCTGTGGTGGAAATGGTCTCCAGCTACAAGTACTTGGGTGTGCACCTGAATGACAACCTCAGCTGGAGCAACAACACCACCAGCCTTATTAAGAAAGCTCATCAGAGACTCTACTTCCTCAGGCGGCTGAGACGAGCTGGGCTGGTAAGCACAGTCCTCACGTCCTTCTACAGGTGTGCAGTGGAGAGCATCCTGTGCTCCAGCATCAACGTGTGGCATGGAGGCTGCACAGCTGCAGAAAGAAAAGCTTTGCAGAGAGTGGTGAAGGCTGCACAGAAGACTGTTGGAGTCAGTCTCCCCACCAGCACAGACATCTACACCTCCAGATCCAGGAAGAGGGTCACCTGCATCATGAAGGACCCCACTCACCCAGCACACACATTTTTTGCCCCGTTCCTCTCAGGCAGGAGGTTTAGGAGCATCAAGTGTAGAACCACTAAACTGCGGAACAGCTTCTACCCTGAGGCTGTTAGACTCACAAATCCAGAAAAATCACTGTGATGCCACTTTAATTGGTGATATGGGACTTACCTGTGCTGCTGATTATCCATGCTGCTGATTTCTTACCTTAAGCTGCTTTCTTCATACTCATCTGCTGACAACAGAATCATGTTCAGGTTGCTGTTTAATACACCATATTATTTTACATTATTATTGTTTAGAGTATATCTTAGATCATAGTATACTGTTTCTTTTTTATACTTTTGCTATTTTTAGGTGTAACTGGGACCTTGAGTACACAATTTCATTCCACCTCATGTACCACATGTGATGCAAATGACAATAAAGTCACCTTGAAACTTTCTGTAGAGCTCCACTTCAAAAGATCTGAACTATTGTTTTTTATCCCTGTTAATATTTTTAGTTCCACATTCAGTAAACTTGTCTGTACATTTAAAGCCTAATTGATCACCTGAAACAATTTGTGTTCACATTGCTTTTATTTTCCAGTAAGCTTTGTATTGATTCCACCCCCCTTGTGCAACCTCCCTGCAGAGCCACTGCTGCAATGCTTAAATTTGTTTGACCGATTTAAAGCAAGAGGTAGGCCTCAGTGGAGCTATAGCCATGCTTTAAATAGCTGCAGATCAAGTCAGACCTACTTTGACAGATTTCTCTTCTCTTGGCTCGGTGCTAAAGCTCAAGTGATGAGATTCTTCGCTTATAGTAGGCAGAAAGAAAAAGAGGCTTCGGGCAAAAAATTAAGATGCATTCTCACATGTAAACAAACCACATTTCAATTGCCTTGTGTCTTCTAGTTGAATAACCTGACAATATACTCAAAAATGCTTCAAATACATTTTTGTGTTGGTAAAAACATAAATTACCAGACCTTAAAATAACTTTTTCTCTGTCTTTCTGTGTGCCATACAAGGCTGGACACTGCGTCATAAATTAACTGGAGACGTTTCCAGACCATAAGAGGTCTCAGCCACGTCTGGACTGTCTGTGATCACGCTGAATGTGACAGAGCAGTGTAAATAAAAACGTTGCAACACGTTCTGCAGTGAGGCTTCTGTAGAAATTTTTTATTGCTGCAACTCTGATGAACAAACAGTTTATTTAATGGCTGGTGAAGCAGAGCACTGCAGTCATGTTTTCATTGTGACTGAATGTATTATAAATACAATTGCCTTCCTATCATTTATGCTTATTTTGAGTTTAATGTGTTTATCAGATATTCAGTATTCAGAATGTAAGTTTTATATGTATATATATACAGGCACACCGCAAAGCAGAGTCTTGAGACGA